CCTGGACTTTGTGCTTGTGGGGCTCGAACGAACTTGTGGCTTCAACTATTGCTGTCTTTGGTTTTGTTTTGAATAAAAAAGGCAGATGGTTATAAACTTCGTGAGTGTATTGGAAATGTGTGAGCCTGAAAAGGTTAGAGCAGTAAAGTGCAACTGCTGAACATTTGCACATAATCGTCTCGTGACAAAGACACTTCAAACCACGCGAAGCCAACGGGAATCGAAAGTACGCAAATCATACCAATTCGCATAATACCCATCATTTCCTTCCTCGCTGAAGCGTCGTGCATTGCAGCTCTCATTGCCATTATCACCAGAGTTCCCTCTATTGTACTTATAGGAAACTTGTGCTTGTTCGGCGGTTCAAAGATATTGAGATTGTAGAGCCAATTTATGGTAGTGTTTTCGAGATTAGTTTGCATATTATTATTTTGTATTTATTATCTCAATTATTTTTTCTCTGTTCAGACGTGGGAGCGGCCCGGAACGTGCTAAAGCGCGTTCTGAAGGACCAAATATAGTACATCCATACATCCATTCAATCATCCATCGAACTACCCGCCTCTTCGTTACTATCTATGCTTTTTACTGATCTATTTTAAAGTTCCCAATTGTGTTACATTATTACTTTGTTCCATCTCAAACTAGACATTATTTATTATAGTATTTAGGAATTTTTTTTAAAACAACCCTGTTTATGCCTGGTCTACCCACGTGGATGTGTGTCATTGTTTAAGGTTTTAGTCTTCTCTACTATATTGTTGTGCGGGTCTAACAGCTTGAAACGCTGGTTTTGGTCTCACAGCATCGACGTATGCCTGTCTGGTCCACTATTTGGCGACTGGGACTTACTTCGCAATCAATCAAGAACATTTTTTTTATTCACTTCTTGACTACAGGTCAAGATAGCCTAACAATCATGCATCATACCCGTTTCATACGCGTTAATACATAAAAAAAACATCACATTTAATCACAGTCATTCATCCTGTACACATCACGCACTTCGGCTGAAATTTCCACGAACCACTCATGAACAGATGGTACTCTATCTTCACAGTGTCTATAAAATAACAAGGTGTGCCATTGCCAATATAGACCAAATCAACATTCCGCTCAATACAATTGCAGCCATTCGGGTTTGTTGCACTTAGTTTCGTTTCTGCAAGCTTCAAAGTATAAACTAACTTTCACTTTTAAATGTAGCTTTCTCTTCATTTGATGTTCTTATATTTATCCTACTTTATTTCTCGACGCCCTTAAAAATAAGTAGATTTCGTATTACTCCTCAAAAGAAAGCACTGTGTGTGGGTAATGTTGGCCGTGAGGTATGGTCATGACAGACTATATGTATTGATCACACCCTCTTTGGGGATTATGCACGAAACGAATAATTTATAGATTAAAGTGATGACAAAAAACAACTGTATCAATAATGAGCTATAAAATAGTTGAAATAATTAATGAAGAATGTTATTTACAATTCATTTACAATCCCTACAGCACTCACGTGGTGTAATAGTTTTGGGGGGTTCACAAGGTCGTGAAAAAACCATACATTTTTTTCATTAGAAACAATACCAAGACAGCAATTAATGAACCTGCAATTGCGTCCGAGCCCCACCTTACCTAATGTAGAAATGTGAGATTAAAAGTGCCTTAATTAATCTGTGTTTCACTGTGTGTTTCTTTTTCAACATTGTCATAAAATACGGCACTCTTTTCCAACCAATTCAAGAAATAGTGCTCCTCAAGGTCACTTACAGCAGCTTTAGTTCTTCTCATCATTTCTATTAAACTCTTGTTGTTTTTTTCATGTTAGACGATACTAACGAATATAGGTACAAGCGGATGGGCTTAGGAAACGTTTAGCTGCTCATAGGAAGAAAGAGAAAAAGCAAGCTCGCAGAAAATTTTTTGGCTCAAAGTGAAAAATATGACAAAAGACATAGTCAGTCCTGTTGGAAAAGGTTTAATAAACAGAAAAACCAAAAATGGCCTCTAAGTAACCGCACAAGGCTAGATATATATTGAACCTCGCTGAGCACTATCGACAGATAATACAACTTCGGTAATCTGTTCGCAATAGCGTTAAAGTTGTTTCACGGAAATTCTTGTTTCATTGTCGATGTCGGTGGCATGGTTGTGTTGTTTTGTGAGTAAAAGAAATCGGCGTTGTCTGTAAGTGAAACTTCACGATGGATACAAATAATAAATACGCAATAAAAAGTCCTCACCTCTGAGTAATAATTTATCCTGAAGGCCTGCTAGGTGGCAAGCATGTCATTACCAAAGGGATGACTGTTGAGGTTTGACATATATACACATATAATAATATACTTATTTGAAGGTCGCAGGTGTTTGGTTACTGCCCACGGCAAGTTATCTTTTTACCCACTTTGTGTTCTTCAGTCTATACAATTCGGTCTAATAACTTCTATACTGTCCTTCGCATCATTGCATTATTGTCTGTTAAATTTCAATATAATGCGCTAGAATAATATATATATATATTTAAATATATATATATATATATACTATATATATATATATACATAATATATATATATATATATATATATACATATATATATATAATATATATATATATATATTATATATATATATGCAGAAGAATAACTTCGGCTGCCGCAAGGTTAAATATGAAGTATGAAAGTAGATGCGCTTTCACATAACAATTGTTTATTGTTGCCGACGTTTCGACGGGAACCCCGTCTTTTCAAGGCATTATGCCTTGAGCATGGCTTTTATCAACGAGCACGTTATGATTCCTAAATAAATCTTGCTTGACTACTCCAACTTCAGCATTCATTGAGAAGTGCTTCGAGGCACGCGCATTTGTTAGATACATCTGAAGAAACGGCGGGTGCTTTATGCATGGGCAAGAATTCACGACAGAACACACGCAAAAAAAAAAAAACCGCTAGACAACGCCTCTTTTTCAGTGTTTCCTTGTCCGTGTCTAAAGTAGCAAAATAGCATAGTTTATTTTTTTAACACAATAATAATGAGATATAACAGACAGTAATGCCAAGGAATGTACAGGGGAAGTTATTAACATTAATGGAATGTAAATAAGAAGAAAGAAAAGTGGATGAAAAAATTACCAACTGTAAGCAGGAATCGAACCTACGACCTTCGAATTACGCGTTCGATGCTCTAACCACTGAGCTATTACAGCGGCACTCCCTCCATCCACTTTTTTGGGTTTATCTGTGAATTTAGAAGTAGGAGCGACAGTCAGCGCCATCTATTAGCCAAAAACGAGTGTGTGTGTGTGTGTGTGTGTGTGTGTGTGTGTGTGTGTGTGTGTGTGTGGTGTGTGTGTGTGTGTGTGTGTGTGTGTGTGTGTGTGTGTGTGTGTGTGTGTGGTGTGTGTGTGTGTGTGTGTGTGTGTGTGTGTGTGTGTGTGTGTGTTGTGTGTGTGTGTGCGCACCCAGCGGCCAAGGCGTCCCGACAAATTTTCGAGAGACTATAACCAACACAGACACAGAGCATGATAATCCGTCCCAAATGTGAAATTCTGGACGTATAAATAAGGGCGAAACTTTTTTACTGGCTACCATCGCTGTCCATAATTGTTCATGGTGCTCTATTGCGAAATATGGCTCTTGCGCTTTTAAAACCTCTATATCATCATCATCATTCAGTGGGATTAAATAGGTTTTTTATTCTTCCCACGATCGAAATTTGCTTAAGACATTATTGACTGCCAGTAAAGTCTTAGTTTTGTTCCTTTAGCCAGTCACTACACTTCACTTTGCTGATGGTGAAATTGCTTAGTTTTACCAAATTTCGTTGTGCCAAAGTTCCTGTGAAGTTTCTGAGCCTTCTCACTTCTGGAGAGGCTATTGAGCTGGTCTTTGCCTTTAGCATTTTTTTTTCGTATTTTGTAAGGTTGTAAAGATCTAATTCTTCACCTCACTTATACTTTCTGGTAAAGAAGTGGGTTAAGTGGAAACTATAATTTTAGACGTAAATATTATTATTACGTCTGGGTATGCTCTCTGGTTGGGTGTGCAAGGGCACCCAGTAACGACTCAATTGGATATGGCTACTGAATTACTGATCAGTGAAATACTGAATCTTGGAATTCACAAAAGCCTTTTATAATAGATAGCTATGAAAGCTCCCGATGTCTTGATTCTGGGCAGACTTTCAAGGTATAGGCGTATTTCCATGCTCGTGTTATTTGCTAAATAATGCGAAGCTTCGGTTAATAAACAATAGGTTAAGAATATGATCCATAGCGTTCTTCTGAAGCACTCCGGGTGCAAACGATCATGATATTCCAGGCTGCTATTCAGCACTCCTGAACAATATGTGACGTTGTTTTCTGAAACAATACGTGAAGTTGTTTCCTGAAATAGTTCGCTGGCTTTTTTTTTTCCTAATGCCCGTCAGAAACGCTCAGTGAGGGCATGACGAGTTAACTGCAGCCTTGCATTTCCTGAGAGATAAGTGCGAATTCTCTTTCATTATTTATTTTCTGCACAGCTCAAAGGCATCATGCTTATATTCTTTCCCGTGAGTACTGCCAACTCTTGTCAAGCCCCAGTTCACCAAAAATAGGTTAAAAATATGAACAATAGCGTAGTGCTGAAACGGTCCAAAACACTTGAACAATACGTGGCGTTGTTTTTTAAACAATATGATTTAACTTTAGCATGCTCATCAGAAACGCTCAGTTAAAGCATGAAGTGCTGACTGCAGCCCTCCCTTTAGCGTTTATTGTTCTTCCGCAAAGCATTGATGACTGATATCGTCTTCGTTCTGAAACTATAAATGTGCAACTCTTTCAAAGTTTTATCAAAATACGTGAAAGTAATTCAGAGTCAACCACCCATTGTCTTCCTGATTACTGGTTTTACGCCATTCATTGAAAGTGAAGTGCTGAAGTTCATCGCTCCTCTTATCTCCCTGTGAGGCATTGTCATATGCTGTTTAGACATTAAGATATCATCCTTACAAGTCAATATATAGAGGCTTTTGCTTCGGTACCACATGCAGTCTAACTGAATCATTAGAACCCGTCGGTTCATCACTGTATACAAGCACTCCGGTAAGTCAACGTTGTTCGATCATCACTTTTTCTTTCGGAAAACAGGCATGTGCTTTCAGCTGCACATTAGGTCACTTCGTTGACAGGAATTATGCGGGAGTTTGCTGATTCGTTGCTGCTTGTTGAATTGCTTCCTCATTAAGGTGTTCATTACTTCATCGGTGACTTAGCATTCACCGTGCCAGAGCTTCTTTCCTCGTATAACTTGCTGTCATGACGCTACAGGCTAATGTCTACTTAGGTAATGGTTCTTGCTCACAGCCATCAGAAATATTTCGATTTATTTAAAGCACGAAAACCACCCAGGAGACCACCAACTTGATATTGTTTTTCTTCCTCCTAATTGATCGATAAATATTGCCGAACCAACATGTAAAATCATTTATAAATGGTCACATTGCAAACCCAGTGCTCCAGCCTCAGGGCACGCTTTCGTTCAAGTGCTTTAAACCGACTTCCTTCTTCCTGCGTAGTACTGAGCCAGATGCGCTTCTCTATCGCCTTTTGTAGGACCAAATAATGTTATTTTTCATTTAATTTGGTTTCGCTACTTCCTCCTCTACCATTCACATGTTTACATTTTTCCGCTTGTTTATTCGGATGACTCATTTGTCATCAGTTCTACACTATATAGTTTCGCGTGTTTTCAGTCTTTTCAAAGTGCATGACTATCTCAGAGCATGGCTTTATCAACGAGCACGTAGTTGATTTCTAAATAAATCTTGTTTTACTACTCCAACTTCAGCATTCATTGAGAAGTGCTTCGAGGCACGTGCATTTGTTTGGATACATCTGAAGAAACGGCGGTGCTTTATGCATGGGCTAGAATTCACGACAAGGACACACAAAAAAGCCTGCTAGACAACGCCTCTTTTTCAGTGTTTCCTTGTCCGTGTCTAAAGTAGAAAAATAGCATAGTTTATTTTTTAACTCCATTTATCATTCATTCTTCATCTAATTGCGCCATACAGCTTCAAACAGCATGACGAACGCTAATGTAATGGTGCAATTGCTCTCTTCTAGTCGAAGATGTGCTACATTACTCTCGGGTTGTTCTAATATACTCTGAGCACTGCTGTTTTGTAATTAAAAAGTGAATTTTTTTCTTGCTTCTAAGATAAGTTCGCTTATTATAGTTTCGCCAACTCGCACGTTTCACATTTAAACTCATGGAAATGCAAATCTTCCTATATGAAGTAACGAGGTGTAAATGTGTTCTTCTTTACATTACACAGCTGTTTTCCCAACACTTACTCTGCTATTACTTGCGAAGTGGTGGTTCTGTTACGCTTGTTTGCTTTCATCATATCTTCCTGCCTGAGATCTCATACCACCCCCTTTGTACTCCAAGCATGCACCTTTTTTTTTGGGGGGGGGGGGGGTGGAGGCTCTTCTCAACCTAATTTTCACTGAGGTCTCCTTGTCCTTCATATTCTGTGGGAATAAGTTTATGCGTGTACTACGGCTGTCAACAATAAACCCGATATGAAAATTCAACGTCTTACCGCGGAACGCTAACTGTTGGCCTGTCAGTACGTTATCTGTATACCTCACAGTTTTACCGGCGCATCGCTGTTAAGGAGTCCTCCGTACGGAAAATAAACGCAAATGCAATCGATAAGCACCATACATTGGACGAAACCTCTCACAGAGAGGACGCTGCGCGGAGATATCAGCCGCGATAATCCCGCTGAAAATCGCGTCAACTTGTACGGTGTGTAAAAGGCACCACTTTCTAGCTTACATGAGCAGGGCTGCTGTTTCTGTTACACAAGATATATGTGGTACGATGGCGGGTCACAACTCATCCCACACAATCCGATCACGTAACAAGGTTGCCCAGTGCCTGCGCAAATGTAGTGGCCCCGCCACATAACGTGACTATGGTTTCACATGAGCCGAACTCTCGACACATCTCCTGAATTAGAGTGAACTTAATCAAGAGTCCCATATTCGTGCGAGACAATCATGTGAACCAAGAAATAAAGAAGCGAAAGAAAGTACAAGGAACATCATATTTATTTTTCTTATGACAATCAAATGAAGTTGTAGCATTCGCTTCCAGAGAGAATCTACGTGCAGCACCTATGAGATAACTGTAATTCAAAAGGAATGAAAAAACACATTGCGGCATAGTGCGTAATCAACCTTGAACTCTCGCATTGCTCACATCATCTCATTCACCTTTCCGTCTCGTGATTGGGTCCCCATTTATTAGATGCGTCATTTGGCCGATCAATAGACTTCTCCGAAGTCTATTAATCGGCCAAATTTGTGTGTGGTGGTCACCTCTCTTCTATATGAAAGGTGACTCTCTTCTATATGAAAGGTGAATTGCCAACAGTTCCCGTTGGCAATTCGCTCAGTTATATGTAATTTTGCCCCTGATAATTACGCTAACAGCAGTGCTTTGTATGTATGTTATGTGCTTAAACGCCCGTCCGGGTGATATGCGGAGCAAAACAAAACAGCCGGACGTCAATACTTCGGCCTCATTACGCCAAGACAACAACGTTTTCTCGTTCCTTTTACATATAATTTATTTCAACAGTGCTGCTAATCGATTCCCACGCAAAGCAATGGCAACAACTCCTTCATTTGTTTATTTTCGCAAGACAAAACAATCTTGAAAAATTCCCCATGTGCTATCTTTCACTTGTTTATCTTTTGGCTTCATGTGGAAACGATCCCTCAATCTGCGTATAGGGCTTTCATTCAAGAGAGAAGTCGTGTGTGCGGTATATGTATGTGTAGTCGTCTATATGACGGCACCGCTATTACAGCACAGGCATATTGGTCGATACGGTCAATATAAGTAAAAGCTGTGGAATGGCTCGTGACCCGTAGTTATACCACGAAGACACTGCACTACATAAAGCGGGACGCTCCTTGTGTCAGCTAGAAGGCGGAGCCTTTTCAGCACCGTACAAGCCTGTGATATTATCTGCGCATTTCTTCTCTGCACGGAGTCCTTTCGTTCGGAGGACTCGTCCTTGCGGAGATGCTTGTCGGTAGTATTTACTTTCTTTTCTGATCGGAGGAGTCCTTGAAAGAAATACCCCGGTAACTGGGATGTGTCGAGATTCTATTTAGGATCACGTTAAGAAACCACAGGTGGTCGAAATCTCTGGAGCGCTCCCCTACGGCGTCTCTTAAAATCATTGGTGGTTTTGGGGTGTTAACCTTTAAATAATAATAATAATAATAATAATAATAATAATATAATAATAATAATATAATATATAAATAATAATTTAGAGTATTATTATATTATTATTATTATTGTTATTATTATTATTATTATTATTATTTTATTATTATTATTATTATTATTATTTTATTATATTATTATTATTATTATATTATATATTATTATTATATTATATTATTATTATTATTATTATATGCCAATGACATCAAGGTATTTAATAAAATTCATTCAGTTAACGATTTGCTTGCTGCAGCCAAATTTCGGTTAAATGCGTAGCATTACTTTGCGTACTGCAAGTACTTTTGGAATCTATCTATCTATCTCTATCTATCTATCTATCTATCTATCTATCTATCTATCTACCTAGCCGCCTACGTGAGGGTGCACTCATGATAAACCCTCTTAACTTAGGATACACCACAATTAGCACGGAGGATAAGAAGGTAACAAAATATGACGCGTTGGTTACGACATAAAAAAGATTAGCGAACCACAAAGCTTCGCCTCTGGGAGTTGAAAGCGATAGCGATATCCTGTCCTAGGACATACTTCAAACACTTTGTGCACGAAACCTTTTCGAACTTGCTATGCACCGACTACGTGGCCTTAAGGGAGCAGCTGCAGTAGCGTGTGTGCCTAATGTAGTGGGTTACCACCCATAAACCACGAAGTCATTATAATACTTACATGACATGACGCCCGCTTGCAATGGGCACTTATGAAACGCATTATTATTGCAATATTTCATGCTGAATCGTGAAGCATGTATACAGGACACATGTGTTCATTTTGTTTATTTATTTATTTATTTATTTGTTCATTTATTTATTTTTATTTATTTATTTATTTATTATTTATTTATTTGCTTTACTTGTTTGTTTATTTATTATACTTCAAATGCCCCAGCGGGTGTGTTACATGAGGGGTGGGCTGTGGTACGAATTTCTGTGGGTTTTGATTTGAACTGGTCTTGTGTAGTGCACGACGTCGGGTGGAAGATCATTCCAATTCTTCGCTGTTTGAACAAAGAACGAGCGAAGGTGGGCAGTTGTGCGGGTATGCGCAAGATAAACAGTGTTGCAGTGGCTAGTACGAGAAGAGATTCGATGTGCGGGCAAGATACCGGATGCGTCAGACACTGAATGAAAGAATTTGTGAAAAGAATTAGTCTAGTGGCCTTGCATCGCAATTATAGATTCTGACGTTGGGCTTGGTCTTTCAGATTAGTGATACTTGAGTGATAAATATTCAGAGTAAATTAACCTTGCTGCCCTATTTGAATAGCTTCCCACATTTTAGATAGATTAGATTGGTGCGGGTCCCAGATGGCGCAAGCGTACTCGAGTTTCGGGCGTACTAATGTTAGATAGGCTAAACGTTTTACAGGAGGAGGGACGAGCGTAAGTTTCGTCTGAGGTAGCCAAGAGCTTTATTTGCTTCATTACAGATGATCATTACGTGGGGTGTCCAGTTATGATCGGGAGTTATGTGTATACCTAAATACCTATAGGAGTCCACGGGGGACAATTTAGAGCTGAAAATAAAGTATGTTGAAGCCAGGTAATGTTTCCTACGGTGTAAAGAAACGACAGATGTTTGTTAACGTTTAGAGTCATTAGCCAAGTTTTGCACCACGTTTCAATTGTTAATAGATCGTTTTGGAGAATGCAGGAGTCATTAAGGTCATTATTAGGGCGATATGACACAGTCATCTGCGACTAAAGGGATACTTGACGAGATATTATTAGGGAGGTGTTTATATAAATTAAGGACAGGAGGGGACCGAGGACTGTACCCTGGGGCACACCTGAGACTACTTGACGACAGGATGATGATAGGTTGGCACAAACAAACTGTTCACGGTTTGAAAGAAAATTTTGGATCCAGTTTAAAACGGCAGGGTCAAGGTTTAAGCGCAAAAGTTTTAGAAAGAGGCGCTTATGGGGTACCTTATCAAATGCTTTTTCAAAATCTAGAAAGAGAGCGTCAACAGGAATATTATGATCAAGACACGTGCTGATATCGTTAATAAAAAGCAGGAGTTGGGTGTCACATGAGAGGCCTTTCTGAAAAGCGTGCTGACAGGGGTAAAAGAATTTACAGACGAAAGAAATTTCATGGTTTAAGAGTAGATAATGTTCCAAGCTTACAGCTTATGCATGGTTGTGATATTGGACGGTAGCTGGAAGGAGAGGATGACGGACCTTTCTTGGGAATTGGAATGATCTTGCCGACCTTCCAGTCTCGTGGCACCACTTCAGATGACAGTGATTGCTGAAAATTATGAGACAGTATAACAGCAAAAACATGTTAGTGTTTATAAGAACCTTAGAATTTATGTAGTCAGTTCCAGCTGATGACGTCACTTTTAATGACTAGATCACTTAAATGATACCGTGAGCTTCGAAGATGACGGTAGGCATAACAGGGAAAAAATGAGTGGAAGCACAAGGAAGTATCTTCAGGTTCATCGGTAAAGGCAGACCGAAATGTATATCTAGTGTTTCTGCGACATAGGACTCAGGAATTGTAATATTTGTGGATTGCATAACGAAATAGGTTGCACATGAGTTGGGTTAATGGCCTTCCAGAACTGTTTGGGGTTAGTGCGTACAGTGTCTGCGAGGGTAGACGAGAAGAACGTTCGCTCAGCATTTCAAATTATAGATTCGTAAAGCTTTTCAGAATTACAATATTTATCCCTGCTTGCTCAGAATTGAATCCCTTAGCCGAGCGGAAATGTCTCTTCTTTTTGTTGTTAAGGCGTTTTAGAGAGTTTTTGTACCACGGAGAAGGACGTTCTGTAATCGTGATGGTAGGAATATAGGTGTTTATTAATTGTTGCATTTCTCTTTGAAAAGCTCCCAGTATTCGTCAACAGACGTTTCGATAATCTATAAGAAACCAATCGTAAAAAGAAAAAAGTTCATTATTCATACTTTCATAATCAGCTTTGTTGAATAGTGTTATTTTTTCTTAATATGGGGGTGTCGGCAAGTTGTATAGGAAACTGGCATGAATGACTGAGTGATCAGTTAGGCTGATTAGATTAGAAACCGATGAAATTTATCAGGGTCGGACGTTAGGATAATTTAGCAGGCTTGTTGAATTATGGGTTGTTCGTGTAGGGAATGTTATCACTTGGAATAAATTGAACGTTAGGCAAACATCTACCAAGTCACTTTCAGTGTGAAGCATGAAACCTACTTTTAGTGCATTTCTAAGCAGAGGCAGTTTTTTTTTCACGGTATATACAAGCAGATGTGTGGCCAAGTGGTAGAACGTCAGCTTACTATGCAAACCAACCTCCTTTATTCCCCACTCTCACCCAGGATTTGATTATTATATTTTATTTGCATCGTCCTCAATGTTTTGGTCACGCATAAGATGCTGATTTGCACTTACAACAACTGACGCCGACGCCGGAATATCTGCGAAACGAACTCTTTAACGCTTTGGCGTTAATAAAGTCACCACCTCGTCACGTACGTCATCAAACACTTTCCGAATAAAGAAAAAACAGTGGCATATACTCGGGCTGGGTATGTGTCAATGGTATGCAGATTTGAGCCGCAGGATGTAGACATCTCTTTATGTACCCAGGAACGCCAAGAACACACAACGGTCATTTTAACGCTTGAGCGTCAAGGAAAGCTGACATATGGAGTGTTGAGAAAATAAATACAAAAAACAAAAGTCATTATCCCAGCAGGAATCAAACCCTAGCATCTGCGTGGCAATAACGTTTTCTACCACAGATCCACGCAGGTCTCGGAATACTTTGCAATAGACCCTGATGTTTTATGAAATGAACGTTTCGTCCCATGAAAAGAATATCGGACTCGGATTTCTCTGCTGCGGGCTTATTCTTTAAAGTTTACCATGCCATACAACGTCATACGTGTTACCTTTAGCTTACTGGCTGCCCTAAAGCAGCTTCCTACTACTTCACACTTTCTTTACCCCGTCATATCATTCTGGGAGTGGGCCCGCTTCTCGTCTCTATAATCACTTTCTGCGACTATGTTCACCCTCCCACCGACTAAAATTACTTTATTAAGCGTTCAGCCACAGTGACCACACAACACTAGTGGTAAGCAAATATGTGATAAGAACGAAGTGCCTGCTTTCCCATAAGCAGTCAATCTTTTATAAATGCAAGATAGCAGTTTGATGGTCATCTAACACTGTCATGGCAACATTACAGGTCAATACAAGGAAAACAATACAGAACATTTTCTTCGTGTGTTCAAATTAGCAGCAGATTTTACAACAAAATACGTTTTTCCCACCATACAGGTATCGGTGACGGCACGCTATGGCACGTGGAATTTTTATTGTCTGCATGATCGCTGCCGTGGCAAGAACCGCACTGTCGGCACCGAAAGCTAGAGTTTCTAGTAAGAATATTCAAGATCGCATACAGCAGTTAGCGAAGGACTTCGAGGCTCATCTTCAGGTAACATTATTCTATACCTTCTTAGTCGTGCTTCTGTTTTATAACGGTGACATGTATATCTAATTTCGTGCATTCCCTGCTAACTGGTTTTATTAGATGCGAAGCAGCTTATGGCGAAGCTCAATGCAGCAGTAGGTGCATTCACCCTTACTGCACGTGCGCAAGTCTGGCCCAAGCAAAGCCAAAACGCACTCATGCTAACGCTTCCTGCCTGTTTAAGGGCTGGGTAGATGCCCAGACCTCCCCCTGACAATCTCTCAGCAGTAACGTGATGGCTTTGGGGAACGAGATTCTGCAGACGTGTGATGAACCAACGCGTTGTATTCTAGTGCCTGCGCAAATGTAGTGGCCCCGCGAAATAAAGTGACTATGGTTTCACATGAGCCGAACTCTCGACACATCTCCTGAATTAGAGTGAACTCTATCAAGAGTCTCATATTCCTACGAGACAATCATGTGAACCAAAAATAAAGAGGCGAAACAAAGTACACGGGGCATAATAGTTATTTTTTCTTATGACAATCATAGGAAGTTGTAGCATTCGCTTCTAGAGAGAATCTACGTGCAGCACCTACGAGATAACTGTAATTCAAATAGAATAAAAAAACACATTGCGGCATAATGCGTAATCAATCTTGAACTCTCGCATTACTCAAATCATCTCATTCTTCTTTCCTTCTCGTGATTGGGTCCCTCATTTAATAGATGTGCCAATTTGCCGATTAGTAGACTTCTCCGAAAGCACTTGTGTGTTGTAGTCGCCTCTCTTCTAGATGACAGATCCCGTTGACAATTTTGTCAGTTAGGTATATGTTTGACCCTGATAATTACGCTAACAGCAGTGCTTTGTATGTATACTATGTGCTTAAGCGCCCATCCGGGTGATATGCGGAGCAAAACAAAACAACGGATGTCAATACTTGGGCCTCATTACGCTGAGACCACGACGTGTTTTCTCGTCCTTTTACATATAATTTATTTCAACAGTGCTGCTAATCGATTCCCACGGAAAGCAATGGCAACGACTCCTTCGTTTGTTTATTTTCGCAAGACAAAAAAATCTTGAATTATTCCCCATGTGCTATCTTTCACTTGTTATCTTTTGGCTTCATATGGAAACGATCCCTCAACCGGCGTATAGGTCTTTCATTCAAGAGAGAAATCGTGTGTGCGGTGTATATGTATGCGTAGCGTTTATGTGACGGCACCGCTATTACAGCACAGGCATATTTGGTCGATACGGTCAATATAAGTAAAAGCTGTGGAATGGCTCATGACCCGTAGTGGTACTACGAAGACACTACACTACATAAAGTGGTACGCTCCTCGTGTATGCTAGAAAGCGGAGCCTTTCCAACACCGTACAAGCGTGTGTTATTATCTGCGCATTTCTTCTCTGCACGGTGTCCTTTCGTTCAGAGACTCGTCCTTGAGGAGACGCTTGTCGGTAGTATTTTCGTTCTTTTCTGATCGGAGGAGTCCTTGAAAGAAATACCCCGGTAATTGGGATGTGTCGAGATTCTATTTAGGATCTCGTTAAGAAACCACAGGTGGTCGAAATCTCTGGAGCGCTCCCCTACGGCGTCTCTTAAAATCATTGGTCGTTTTGGGTTGTTAACCCTTAAATAATAATAATAATAATAATAATAATAAAATAATAATAATAATAATATAATAATAATAATAATAATAATAATAATAATAATAATATAATAATAATAATAATAATAATAATAATAACAATAATAATAATAATAATAATATTAGTAATATTAATAATAAGTATTATTATTATTATTATATTATTATTATATTATATTTTATTATTATTATTATATTATTATTATATTATTATTATAATGAACGAACAAACCCAGTGTTGATGAAGTTGAGCAGTTTACAAAGCTAGTATTAAACAGTAGGCGTAAGTTTACTACGCACTATACACCTAAACGTCGTAAATATCCCCAGTGTCTTTCTCCTGAACTTATAGGTCTAAAGAAGAATGAAGATCACGCGCACAAGATGGCTAAATGCTCGTCATTCAGCAAGTGGAAGGAAAAGTGAAGCTTTTTTCTACACTCTCTCTAAACGCCTATATGAAGAGGACCAAATTTCGTGCATTGCATTGATAGAAAAAACTTTTTGACTGGCCAGCTGAGTTAGAAAGCATGTACGCAAATGGCCTAGCAAAAGGGAGAAGTCCATCAGGCTACTGGACTTGGGTGGCGTCGAAGTGCATGCTGTCGCTGTCTGTTTTGCCACGCATTTTTCAGCCGTTTATATGGCCTCAGACTCTTGAACTCAGATAACACAACAGCCCAAGGTTATAAGCAGATCTAGCGGGCTATCACTAGATAAAAAGCTCATCTCTTCATGCATTAGGCGCTTAAAATCTTCCTTATCGTGTGATCCACATGGCATATTTTCCGCTGAACAGAAAAATGATGGTAGTATCTTTGTCCCAGTACTGACAACAATATTCAACCACTGTCTGAACACTTCCAGATTTCCAAGCATGTGGAAAACTGCGCGTGTTTTTCCAGTATCTAAGTCGGGCTGCAAGAGTGATGTTTCCAATTACTGACGGATTCTCTACTGTGTGCCCCCCCACCCCCCGGCCGTGCTAGACTGTATCTGCGCGCTCGCTTGTGCAGGTGCAGTCTAGCCCGGCCGTTCTGCCCCATCGATGATCTTTGAGCTGGAACTTGACAACATATTGTATGTTAGGAATCAACATGGGTTTCTCCTCTGACGCTCCACTAGCACAAATTTCGCTGGTTTTATTACTCGTATTTCCCCACCTATTTCTCAGAGAGGACATTTTGAGTGGTCTACTGTGACCTGAATAAGGCTCTTCACGTAGTCGGCCACTCGCTGTTTTTGGTTAAACTTGGAAACTTTGATGCTCAATCGTCAGTTCTGGATATCCTGCACAAATATCTGCTTGGAGTCATGTTGTTTTGCCGTAAATTGCCAAACGTCTTCCTTATACACAGTGACTAGGGGAGTCGCTCAAGTGTTGTTATTAGGCCCACTTTTATTTTTAAGGTAAGGTAATGACGTCTTTTTTAAATGCGTTATTCTTTTTTTCTCTATATGCCAATGACATCAAGGTATTATTAAAATTCATTCAGTTAACGACTTTTGCTTCCTGCAGCCAAATTTCAGTTAAATGCGAAGCATTACTCTGCGTACTGCAAGCACTTTTAGAATCTATCTATCTATCTATCTATCTATCTATCTATCTACTATCTATCTATCTATCTATCTATCTATCTATCTATCTACTATCTATCTATCTATCTATCTATCTATCTATCTATCTACCTAGCCGCCTACGTGAGGGTGCACTCATGATAATCCTCTTAACTAAGGATACACCAAAATTAGTACGGAGGATAAGATGGTAACAAAAATATGACGCGTTGGTTACGACATAAAAAAGATTAGCAAACCCCAAAGCTTAGCCTCTGGGAGTTGAAAGCGATAGCGATATCCTGTCCTAGGACATACTTCAAACACTTTGTGCATGAAACCTTTTCGAACTTGCTATGCGCCGACTACGTGGCCTTAAGGGAACAGCTGCAGTAGCGTGTGTGCCTAATGCAGTGGGTTACCAGCCATAAACCACGAAGTCATTATAATAGTTACATGATATGACGCCCGCTTGCAATGGGCACTTATGAAACGCATTAATATTGCAATATTTCATGCCGAGTTGTGAAGCATGTATACAGGACACGTGTTAATTTAATTAATTTATTTGTTTGTTTATTTATTTATATACTTCAAATGTCCCAGTGGGGTGTTACATGAGGGGGGGGGGGCTGTGGTACAAATTTCTGTGGGTTTTGAACTGAACTGGTCTCATGTGGTGCACGACGTCGGGTAGAAGATCATTCCAATCCTTTGCTGTTTGAACAAAGAACGAGCGAAGGTGGGCAGTTGTGCGGGTATGCGCAGGATAATAGGTGCTGCGGTGGCTAGTACGAGAAGAGATTCGATGTACGGGCAAAATACCAGATGCGTCAGACAATGAAGGAAAGAATTTGTGAAAAATAATTAGTCTAGCGGCTTTGCTTCGCAATTCTAGATTCTGAAGTTGGGCTTGGTCTTAAAGATTAGTGACACTTGAGTGATATACAAATTCAGAGTAAATGAACCTTGCTGCCCTTATCTGAATAGCTTCTAAAATTTTAGATAGATTAGATTGGTGCGGGTGCCAGATGGCGCAAGCGTACTCGAGTTTCGGGCGTACTAATGTTATATAGGCTAAACGTTTCACAGGAGGAGGGACAAGGCGTAAATTTCGTCTGAGGTAGCGAAGAACTTTATTTGCTTCGTTCCAGATAATTATTATGTGGGGTGTCCAATTAAGATCGGGAGTTATGTGTATACCTAAATACCTATAGGAGTCCACGGGGGACAACTAAGAGCCGAAAATAAAGTATGTTGGAGCCAGGTAATGTTTCCTACGGTGTAAAGAAACGACAGATGTTTTGTTATAGTTTAGAGTCATTAGCCAAGTTTTGCACCATGTTTCAATTGTTAATAGATCGTTTTGGAGAATGCAGGAGTCATTAGGGTCATTAATAGGGCGATAGATGACACAGTCATATGCGAATAAACAAGTACTTGACGAGACATTATTAGGGAGGTCGCTTATATAAATTAAGAACAGGAGGGGACCAAGGACTGTACCCTGGGGTACACTTGAGAATACTTGACAACGGGATGATGATACCTCCTTGGCACAAACTGTTCACGGTTTGAAAGAAAATTTTGGATCCAGTTAAAAACGGCAGGGTCAAGGTTTAAGCGCGAAAGTTTTATAAAGAGGCGTTTATGGGGTACCTTATTAAATGCTTTTTCAAAATCTAGATAGAGAGCGTCAACAGAAATATTATGATCAAGACATGGGCTGATATCGTTAATAAAAAGCAGTAGTTGGGTGTCACATGAGAGGCCTTTCTGAAAAGC